CACCCATGATTGAAGCATACACTTAGCATTTGTGAACTCAGCCCTTGGCTATTTATTTCACAATGTAGATCCTTCTTCATATACAGGAAGGAAAGTTTTTTTTTGTTTCATTTTGTAGCAGGGTTTGTGGATTCATTAAACATATTTTATGTCAGCAGTTTGTCAGTTTTTCAGAGAGAAAAAGTAAGTGACTAAGTCAGCAAATAGAGAAAAGAGTATTTTAGTGTCACTTGTGTGCAAATATCCTGACTTGGCTTAAGTTAGCAATTTATCTACCCTGTTTCCCCCAAAATAAGACATCCCCTGATAATAAGCCCAATTGGGCTTTTGAGTGCATGGCAATAAGGCCAAGCGCTTATTTCAGGATTCAAAAAATATAAGACAGGGTCTTATTTTCAGGGAAATATGTTACTTTTCCATGCGTCATACTTGAAATCTAAACTCTACCCATGAATTTCCTTTTCTCTCTTTTCTGTCCTACCCCCTCCCTAACTCCAGTTTAGAAGAAGCATAGTTCATTTTGAATCAGACTGTTTTAAGACAGTATTGGATGGACAATAAAAATTGTGCACAACTGTGTAGCATGTTATTTCTTGTACAAGCTATTTGTTTGAAATCCATTCCTTCACCTCCCTCCCCTTAAAACCTCTGCTTTTAAGATTCTTTGAAAATGGCTGCCATCTCAATATACCATACCTTCGGGAAACTAACACTGATTTTTGTGCCTGATTGAGTGCTTTGTCCTAGGCGGCGTTAGTGCTTGTATTGCTTGTGTATGTTTGAATGGCTGATGCTTTGAACTTCAACGGAGTCTTCCACATCAGAGGATGCATTGACACGTATGCTAGCCAGCATATAAATGATATCAACATTGTAACTAGCAGCCAAAATATGGAAATGTTTGACAAAGAGATTCTTTTGAGCAAAAAAAATAAAAAAATGACTTTCATCATTTTTAAATTTTAATTAATTAATTTAAATCTGTTATATTTCAAACATGACCTGTTTTTCTGATCCTTTGTTCTCTTTATTATTGTGGTTTTTCAAGGGGGAGTGATGCTGGATTCTTTAACATAGAATTGACAAAGGCTTTTCTTCCTCATTAGATGTAATAATCCTCTTTATATCTGACTTAAACAATGTTGTCGACAATTCCCTTTTTAAAGATGCAATCCCGGAACCAATGGATGGCTAAATAATATAGGGAACAATTCTCCATAAGTGAACCTCCCTAAATGTGGGAAATTTGTTTTTATCCGTGCTTTCTTGTAATATACTCAGAGGATAGAGTACATCTCCCCACTCTCTGCCTTACATTTAGAACAACAATCCCTCTGGGAAGATTAGCCTGAGAATGGTGAGGTTTATGGCACAACATAAACCCATATGTTGCTTGCAGGCTAACGTCCTGATGTGCACAGAGAGCAAGAGACTCATTTAACAGTAACATAGTTGGAAGGGACCTTGAAGGTCATCTAGTCCAACCCCCTGCTCACGCAGGAGACCTGTACTAGGGATTCGAACCGCCGAACTGCTGACCTTTCTGATTGACAAGCTCAGTGTCTTAGCCACTGAGCCACCTAGCCAGGATACTCATTAAAAAGGCATCCATTTATGAAGTTGCATTTTCTATTCAAATTCGGCTAGAGGCCATCGAGGAACTTTTCACTAGCATCGTTTGGCTGAACAAGTGCTACATGTGTAAGGTTTAATAAGGAACTTTTTCAATACTCATTATTCTGCATATACAATTAAGAATGGCATTAGAATTAGAATCACTGTGGATGCTTGTGTTTGCTAAGCCCATATGGCACACTGAAAGAGAAAAGAGATTATAGCCTGTCATGTTTATACATTTGGTGTAGTTTGAGTAAGTGGATAGCTTGCAGAGGTGACCTTGCAGAGAGAGGCTTGCAATATCAGCCATTCAAGTTTTTTCTTTTTCCTGTTTAATTGAATAGTGTTCCTGATGTTTCCCCAAGAAAGATGACTTTGGCAGGAAAACATCTTTTGTATATGGTATTATCTTTCTCCAGAAAGTGTTTAAATTGCTAACCAGTCACCTCTTCCATCTGATGATGATACATTTCATAAGCTGCATGTGTTAAGTAAGTGATTCTTGGTCCTGAGGAGCTGGCAGCATCCATTAGGACTTTGAACTGTTTAAATCCAGAGCTGCTTTTCTTGTCAGTCTGATATTCTTGGAACCTTATCTGACTCCTCCCCATCTGAAAAAAAAATAAAGTCTTTGTAGATTGAGATTCTGGAATCACTGATTTCTGCTTGAAGATAGTGGGCCAAAGTCAGATGAAAACTTGTGATGTGTGTGCATTCACATTGTCAGTCAGTCAGTCAGTCAGTCAGTCAGTCAGTCAGTCAGTCAGTCAGAATAGAGCTGAAAGGGACCTTGGAGGTCTTCTATTATTATTTTATTATTATTATTATTTATTGAATTTATATACCGCCCTACTCCCGAAGGACTCAGGGCGGTGAACAGCCAAAAGATAAAATACATGTAATACAAATGTTAAAAAAACCCATTAAAATACAATTAAATAATTTGGCTCAGAAAACAAAATTTAAAAACCCCAATTTTATACGACAAATTTAAAATTTAAAAAATTTAAAAAACAGTTTAAAAAAGAGGTTAAGCCAGGCTGGCCTGCTGGAATAGGAATGTTTTGAGGGCACGGCGGAAAACGCGCAGCTCAGTGATCCTCCGTATCTCCGGGGGGAGCTCGTTCCAAATGGCAGGTGCTCCCACAGAGAAGTGCATTCTAGTCCAATGCCCTGCTCAAACAGGAGACCCTGTACAATTTGAGACAAGTGGCTGTCCATTTCTTCTGAAAAACCTCCAGTGATGGAGCACCGACAATTTCTGAAGGCACGCTGTTCCACTGATTAATTGTTCTCATGGTTAGGAAGTTTCTCCTCAATTCCAGGTTGCTTGTCTCCTTGATTAGTTTCCATCCATTGTTTCTTATCTTGCCATCTGGTGCTTTGGAAAATAAGTTGACACCCTCTTTTTTGTGGCAGCCCTCAAATACTGGAATATTGCTATCATGTCACCCCTGGTCCTTCTTTACTCTAGACTAGCCTTACCCAGTTCCTTTGTGCACTAAAGTAAGCCAACAGAGGGGAAATCTTGAGCTGACAATGTCATGGCAGTGAAGTAGGTGCAGAACACTATTTGTGCTGCTGCCAATTCCAGAGGTTCACAGATGAAGAAAATTCACAGCAAATTATGAGTCCCATCCCCCCCGCCAAGTTATGCACACCTGTTCACGAAACAAGCTTCTGAGCAATTATCTGTTCTATGCACCTTGCAAGTCTTTTGCCATGGCTTTTCCTCAGTCCTTCACAACAAATCTAAAAAAGATGTGTGGTAGAGGGATGCAGGAAAATGGGAGTCCATTTAGTGCTTTGCAACTACTTCGGTGTTTCCTAATACATGAATATAGTTCATGTATTAGTTTCCATTTTTAATTTCCGATGGCTTGCTTCAATTGCACTGCTTTCTCATGCTCTGTTTCAAGTCTCAAATATTGAAGTGTTCTTCAACTTCTGAATGGAGATTTTCATTCGACTTTCCTAACATGGCATTCTCTCTGACTATGAGGTTTGAATGACAGCTAGCATATTGGCTGGCTGGGGATGATGGGAGATGTAATTCAGTGCAGTTTGTGGAACTAACAAGGAAAGCTGCAAGTGAACACCAGAGTCCCAGGAGTAGCAGTACTTGTTATGAAATGAGAAGATTGAACAACACATACTGTTGTGGCAGGCAGCAGATTGTTGTCTTACATTCCAGCTGCAGAGATCCTCAGCATTGCTATGGCTATGATTTTTCTTTTTTTTTTAAAAAAAAGGGAACAATCACTATGACTTGCTATGTGAAGCAGTAGGGAAAGTAGATCCTCATAATAGCATGAATGAGGGCTCTGTGGTCTGATGCAGAGGCTATCCAAGGCAGAAATAGCAGAAATGTTTATTCTTCCATACATAAAGGACAAAACCACCAATTTGTTTTATTAGAACTTCTCACTGCACTGGCCATTGTCCTTATTACTAGTCAATGGGAACTGAGGTTGGATCAACTTGGTGCTTGAATTAACCTTAGCATTCCAATTGTCATTTTATTGATTTGACACACTGACAATTTGACCTTTCTCCAGGCACTCCCACCCCATTCTCTTTCCTTCACTCTCCCCCTCCCAAAGTATGCTAACCTGAGAAAGAATAACTGGCATGAGTTTCCTCGCGACTTCATAGCAGAGATGGGAATGTGGGTCTCCTTAGGCTTAATTCAGTGTTTTCATCATTATAACCCACATATCAAGATGGAATGCCCCGGATGCAGAGAGCAAGATACCTACCCTTTCCAGAAACAATTGCTAGGACTCAAATTTCTAGGGCGCAGTTAGCCCTGAATGTGAAGTGCTTGGAATCTGGGGGAGAGGGAAGAGATCCAACTTTTCCGTACAAGCAACTGAATGTTGTGTCAGATGAGATGCATGCAAAAGCAAAAGAGGAAACTGTCCACGGTGTCAGTGCAGGCATCCCAGATAAGAGTGCAAACAAACAAACAAAGAAAGAAATCCAAGAAAACTTAGGAATTTCTCATCCCCAAACCAACATGCTTGCAGGAAATTCATTGGCTCCTTGCTTTTAGGAGCAATTACCCTTAGAGCAGCCATCAATTCTGTAGCCTCTTCTGAAGGGGCTATAAATCCAAGCAGGCACTGTCAGCTGGGATGATTAAAAAGAAAAAGAAAAGAAAGGCTGCTTCTGCTGTACCCCTCTGCCCAGGATGAAGGGAGACTGCAAGCTACCTAAAGAGGCAGGACTCTGGGCACAGAACGGTAGCTTCCCCACCTGTAGCCTGATTGGTTAAAAGCAGCTCATGTTGGATTTGCTGTGAAGAGGCTAAGGGGAGGGTTTTATTTTAAAGAAGGTGGTGATGTGGAGGGGGGAATAGAGGAGCCCGAGAGTACATTTGATTGGCTGGGGGAGGGGGCTTGGAGCTGGAGAGAGTGCTGAGCAGGCATTCATGAGATACGGTGAGGCGAGCGTCTTTCCTCCTGCCTCCCACTTCAGATGCAAGGACAGGCTGGAGCGCTGTGGCTGGGTTAATAGCACGGAGAGGGAGCACGACTGGATTGGAATCTCAAGAGTGACAGCGCCGTGAATGAAGCACCTTCTACTTCTTCCGTCTGTCCTAGGCTTCCTCTGTCCGAGGAGAGATGGGGAATCATTTAAAGTGAACTGCACCATCTCCGGGCAGAGTGATGGGACCGAGAGGAGCAGGGCAGGAGAGCTGCTTGCTGTTGGGATAATCTCTAATCTTAGCCTCTTTGCTGTGCAACATCCCTGGTTTACAGTTTTGGTGTCTTTTTAAGAGCAATGTGGATTGAAGGTTTTATATGGCACTTGGGATAATCCGCAAGACTGTCGCTCTCCCTTGCAAAAGCAAACCAGACCATTGCTCTCCCTGGGTCTCTCTCTCTTTTCCTCCCCCTTTTGACTGTGGGGAGGGGGAGACTGTGGCACCAAAGACGATGTTTTCTGTGCAGGGAAGACTTCTCCACAAGTAAGCCCAGGGGTTTCCTAACTCCTGGCTGAGCAGGGGTTTTGTGTTAGCCAAGGGGGCTGCTTTTGCAACTCACTTTACTCCTTGACAGAATCATGGCAGGCAAAAGAACAGCTGGCAGAAAACATTAGGGGGTGGGTGGGAGCCAACTAAGGAAGTTGTGGAAAGCCTGTCCTTCCCAACCAAACAAAACTGCAAAGATTCTTGTCAATACTAACTCTGGAACACTTTTGACGTCACCATGCGCAGATCTAGCACCGATGAATCAACTTATCATAGGAGCCCTTCTGTGGACAGCAAGGATTACAGTTTTCCCAATGGCGCCTTCCGTCGCTACAGCAGCATGTACGGCGGCCAATTTGGAGCCGCAAGTAACTCTTTTTTTGGATTCCATACCAACCCGGGTCCTAAGGCCACCAAGGCTAAGTACACCTCCCCCAAGGGGAACAAGTATGTGGTCTTTTACTTGGATCTCTCCTTTATTTTTCTTCTAGAACTGAAGAGGTGCAGCATGGCTCACAACTGCCTGCAGTGCATTAAGTACCTCATGTTTGTCTTCAACTTGCTCTTCTGGGTGAGTATGTACCTGTGCATGGGTTTATTTAGCCCTTGGGTGTCTCAACAAGTCTGGGGATAGTTTTCCTCTCCAACTTTTGGGCAGCAAGTAATGGGGACAAATGGGAGCTGGTTGTAGGCATTATACATCATGCATGCTGAAGTTGTAGACTGAAGTGACACAATTTTGGACGACACCATTTGAGGCTGTGGGGGTGGATCTCATGCCTTTGAATGCTCTGTCACATAAGTGAGAGAGAAAGAGAGCCATTCATAGAAAACACCAACACATTAGCAAGAAATTGGCAGGTGTCCTGGCTTCTTGCATGCCGACAGCTTTTTATGGGAAGGAGCATTTTAAAAGACAGAATCCCAACCCTTAGTATGAAGTGGTACAGTCCAGAGTTCTGCCACTTCATTTGCCCCTTTGCTCTGCATAATGGTAGAACCAATCTGGCTTTTCTTGTTGAGGTTGCTTGACTTAGTGAGGACCAAGAAAATATTGGTCCCTGTTTTGTTCTGTTTTTCTGTGTTCTTCATCAGTCTTGTTAAGCTGCATGCATATTCAGATGCTGTTCCTGAGGCTGGGAATTCATTGCACTTCTTGTTCCATATGAATTTGTGCCCTTGCTCAAGTCTCAAATGTGTTGTTAATTGCTGTGTGGATCATGTATCTAATCTCGGATTTGCATAGTCTCTTTAAAAGATGGTTCTTGAAATACTAAGACACAAATTGATGCTATTCTGTGGTGATGACCAGGAATAATCTGAATCAATGTGTACATTGTGGGAATGCATATGAAGATAAGATGTGCCCTTGTGTCTGATAGAGTCATCAATATTAGTGATACTGCAGGTGGAATTTAACAGATTAGCAAGCTAGTACCTGGTTTTCTGCAGTAAGAAGAGACTTTACAGCGCAGGAGTAGACTTACTGGGCAAAATGTGAACTGCACATCCTGGTAAGTAACTTCCAGTCCTGTGATAAGATGTCATATTCCTTCATTTCCAAAGAGTATTTGAAAATCCTGACTATAAAGTAACTTTCTTTCTGTGCCACTTATTCAATTTCCTGTACATACATACATACATACATACATACATACATACATACATACATGACTTGTAGATTCATAAAGTTGGAAGGGAGTCATCCAGCCCAATCCCCTTCTCAATGTTGAAATCCAAATTAATAATCCCAAACAGATGGCTTTCCAGCTTCTGTTTGAACACATTATAGGAGAATACATTAATTTTTTTTAAAGCAACTGGAGTTGTATTGCTGTTAATTTAATTGCATGTTAATTAATTTTGCCCATAGAATTCACAATTTTTCACTTAACACAGTTGTCTAGCTTATTTTTTTTGTAGAAAAATAGATAACTGAAGGTAACTTTACTCTGGAAGGTATTAAAAGGTGCAGTTTACTTGAGTAGGTATAGCATTCTTTCAAAGGTTTTTTTTCTTTTCAGGAAGCAAAGTTAAAGACTTCTTATACTATTCCTCATCACCATATTCAGAATTTAAAGAATAAAAATTTTAAGGTGGAGAAACTGGTGGGGCCTAAACAAGGCCCTATTATGATATTTGCATGGAAAACTAACACAGGTCATCTTTCTTCTTTTTGCCACAAACAAGACATTTCAAGCACATACAAATATTGGGGGGTGGGAGGCGAGGGGGGGGCAAGAAAACAACAACAGCTGGAGCCTTGTTGGGAGGGAGGGAATGTGGTGGAATTGCTGGCTACTTTAAAAAGGTCAGGCTCAGATTGACCCAGAATCTCCACCCTTTCCCCCCCCCCCAATGCATTTTCCTCTTTTGTTTCAAGGTGTATGTGTATGTTCCTCAGCGTTTATTCACTTGTTAATAGATTTTGTTGAAACACAAGGAAACTCTGGATAAGCTGGAAAAAAACATCACTCAGACTGTTTCCCAGCTTCCAATTCTCTGACACAGCTAGAGTCCTGGTGTGTGTAGCCAGCTTGTCCCAGAGTTTCTTGAAAAGACAGAGAATCGGGTTTGTTGACCTTTCCATCCACCATGTCTTCTTCCTCTCTTACTGAATAGAGAGCTCAGTCAACCAATTGAACTACATATGCAGGGGGGGTGAGATGGAATGAAGATAGCCTTCTTTTTAAAAATAATGCCCAGCAAAGACTTAAAGGATATTCTCTGAAATTCTTCCGTGAACCCTGCACTGCAGAGAAGGCATGCTTTTTACGGCATGTAAATGCAGACTTACAACGTGAATACTGCAAAGGGTTTTCCTTTTAATTTAACCAATTCAAGAAATGCTACTGTAGTATTTCCTGAAAACGACAACTAGAGTCATAGCTCTTTGATGTATCGTCTTTTTCTCAAACTCTTGGGCAGAAAGATCCCTGTGGTGTGATGAGATGCCCATGTCTCAAGGTTATAATCAGGGAACGTACAAGAATTTATCTGTGATACTAATCCATATTTGAAGTATACTGTATATTAAAAAAATATTTCAATTTTTAAAATTTTATCTTTTTTTAGGGACTGGATTTATGTTTTGGTAGTTTGAGCAATGTTTAAGAATCTAGGGCAAGCTCCGTTCAGAGCTTCCATCTCTACTATGGTGCAAATGCTTTCTCTTCCAGGAGTGTTTCTAGATAATTTAAAAAAAAAAAACATTTTACATGTTCCACACAGGAGACTTTTCTGTCTGGCTCAGAGATGCTGCATTAAAGTGACAACAGGCAGAGACGCTGGCCTCCTTTTAACAAAAATGTTTATGTTGTGAAATGGAGATTAAATATGTGTCACGTGTACAGCTTGAAGGGCCCATTGTACACCCAATGGTGAACAGATCTGCTATTAGCAGCTGTTGGAAAAATGTAATTGTTCTTATGCGCCTGAAGATACAGTTTTTCTTGGATATGATCAATTTCTAGATACCTCTCAACAAGGCTGCAAATTTTCTACAGTATTAATAGCTATGGCTTATAGAAGGTGTTTGGTGCTTTTATTTGCACTACTAACTGTTTCAGTTCTCCAACCCCCACCCTATTATCTACCGATCCAAACAGCCACCCACCCACCCAATCTTATTTATTAAATTTATATGTTCCCATCTTGCCAAGTGGCAACTCGAGGCAGCTCTATGTATGGTATATCATTTTATTTATTTATTTATTTGATTGATTCATTTATTTTTATAGCCTCCCATCTCAGCAAATGACTCTGTATGTATTTTTATGATTGGTTTTGGACTGTAAACAAACAAATAAGCCAAACTGACCTTCACATTAGGAGAATCTAGCAGTATTGCCATATTCTCACAGTACCATGTACTCACTTATGCCCATCATGCATCTCTTATTCACTCAAAATGAAGAGTATTTTAAGCCTACTTGCACTTTTGTACCTAGTTAATGTCATGTAGGAAGACAATAGAACTTCCATTTCCATTTCTATATCTTGCTCTACCTAGTTCACTAATTCTATTCAGGAGTGACCATTTGTATACGTTGGCCTAGTTCCAATGTTTTCATTGGAAAGACACACGTTTCTTTGCTTCTTCTGTATTTATCCCCCTCTAATTTTGAAAACAACAACTTCACCCATATGCCAAGGGACAATTCGCAAAGCCTGAAACATGCACCAGTAGGGATTGAGGCAGTGGTGAAATCCTCCACATATTGCCACCGGTTCACTGCCCACGCCAAAAGCACGCTGCACGCACATGCATACACAGTGCGCACCAAACACACACTTTGCGCAGAAAAAGAAGCCTTTTCTAAGGTAAGTAGAACAGCGAGGGGGGGAAACAGCTGTGCCGCACGATTTCCTGCTTTCTAGCGAATATAAACTACGCGGCACAGCTGATCATCAGAAATACCAGTTCAAATGAACTGGTAGCTTTTTTTAACTACCGGTTCACCTGAATTGGTAGTTTTTACCACTACAGGTTCGCTTGAACCGGTGAGAATCGGTAGCATTTCATCCCTGGATTGAGGTGTGTGTGTGTGTGTGTGTGTGTGTGTGTGTGTGTGTGTGTCCTTATATTTTGGAAATAGGGGAAAAAATGAAGCAGCTGGACTCAAGGATAAATGTGAGGTGATGGAATGGACATTTTGTTTGAATTATGCCGATCAGATTGCAACTGAATACTTAGCTCAATTATGTTTTGATCCAAGACAGGTTTCCTAAAAGTAAACATTTCTAACCAGTTATGATGGAAAATGGTTTTACTCAGTGTTGGGTTAATGATTTTCTAGACATTTTAGGAGATGGGCAATGACATTCATATGGAGTATGTTCCAAGAAATCTCAACGATCCAAAAGGAAATGTGGTGCAGGAAAGAAACAGAGACATAAAAGATGATTGAAAGCAGAATACATTGGTACACACACACACATACACACATGTACATATGCCCAGAACAATATTTTGGATGGATGGTTGCTGAGAATATACTCAATATACACTTCAGACATCAGCATGGGTTTCACACAAAAACTGTCATATATAGCTGGGAGATTTGCTTTTCTTTTAAAATATTCCGTAAGTGTTTTCTCTGGAACTGGTCCTTTTCTGCAATACTATACAATATGAACATTTCATATTATAAGGGAACATTCTACTTTCAGATTCTAGTTTTTGTTTCTTATATGGTGATGCTTTATATAGCAATGCTTTGGATTTCTCTGGAGAAATCAAGACAAAGCATAGTGTAAACTTTGTTGTATTTTTCAGGTCAGCATTAACAATGGCAAGGCAAATTGTTTTGTTGGGGATTGTTTTGTCAGGTCAGCATTAACAATGGCAGGGCAAATTGTTTTGTTGATGGCATACGTTTGCGTAGGGATATGACTGAATGTATATGACTTGCGTGTCATGTAAAGGAGATTTAGAAGTGGAAAGTCTTCAAGTCAACAGTCAATGGTTAGGTTAAGTATCTTTGAAATAAAATATAGTACTGCAATTCTTACCAATTTGGGGACATTCATATTTCATGTAATGGGTTATGTGTAGCTAAATAGAGTATA